GGGGGTTTATTTACTAAAGCTGGAGAGTCCAAAATCAGACTCCCTTCTGCATAGAAACCAATCAGCTTCTAACCTCAGCTTGTTCAATGAAGCTTTGGCAATGAAACCTGGAAGCTGATTGGTTTCTATGCAGAAGGGAGTCTGATTTTGGACTCTCCAGCTTTAGTAAATAAACCCCTTGATGTTCTAGAACAATGACACAGACTCTTGATGTTCTAGAACAACAACACACTGACTCTTGGGATCCAGAACAATGATACACTAAAGCTTGGGGTTCCAGAATAATGCCACACTGACATTTGAGGTTCTAGAACAATGAAACAATGACACTTTGAATCCCAGAACAATGACACGCTGACGCTTGAATCCCAGAACAATGACACACTGACACTTGGGGATCCAGAACAATGATACACTAAAGCTTGGGGTTCCAATCACACTGACACTTGAGAACAATGACACACTGACACTTGGAATCCAGAACAATGATGGCACTTGGGGGACCAGAACAATAATATCACAGAACAATGACACACTGACACTTGCGGGTTCACTGAGCGGTCCCAAACAATGACACACTGACACTTGGGGGTCCCAGAACAATGACACACTGGCAGTTGACACTTGGGACCAGAACAATGATACACTGACACTTGGGGTCCAGAACAATGACACACAAATTTGAACACACTTGACCACAATGACACTTGACACTTGGGAATCCCAGAACAATGACACACTGACACTTGGGAGGTCCAGAACAATGACACACTTGGGGGTCCAGAACAATGACACACTGACACTTGAGGTTCTAGAACAATAACACAATGACACACTGACACTTTGGGGGTCCAGAACAATGACACACTGACACAAACAATGAAACACTGGGGGGACCAGAACAATGATACACTGACACTTGCGGTCCCAGAACAATGGCACACTGACACTTGGGGGTCCAGAACAATGACACACTGACACTTGGGGGTCCAGAACAATGACACACTGACACTTGCGGGACCATAACAATGATACACTGACACTTGGGGGTCCAGAACAATGACACACTGACACTTGGGGATCCAGAACAATGACACACTGACACTTGGAGGTCCAGAACAATGACACACTGACACTTGGGGGTCCAGAACAATGACACACTGACAGTTGAGGTTCTAGTACAATAACACTTTAGATTGTACGCCCCTTGAGGGTTAGGGCGCTGCGTAAATTGAAGGTGCTATATAAGTACCTGTAATAAATAAATAAATAAATGAAACACTGACACTTGGGGGACAAAAACAATGATACACTGACACTTGGGGATCCCAGAACAATGGCACACTGACACTTGGGGATCCCAGAACAATGATACACTGACACTTGGGGGTCCCAGAACAATGACACGCTGATACATGGGATCCCAGAACAATGTCACTTGTCAACAAGGGGTTTATTTACTAAACCTGATTGACTCAGAATCTTGTCCACGTCTGCATAAAAACCAATCAGCTTCCAGGTTTTATTGCTGAAGCTTAACTGAACATGCTGAGGTTAGAAGCCGATTGGCTACCATGCACAGGTGCCCAAGATTCTGAGTCAACCAGTTTTAGTAAATCTCCTATCAAGTGTCAACTTGGGGGACCCAGAACAATGAGACACTGAGACTTGGGGTCCCCGAACAATGTTACATGGGGTTCAATACAGATCATATTTATAGGAAGTGCTGTAGACTCTTTACTTTATGTGTATATTAAAAAAAAAACAAAAACAAAACGGTGACGCAATAAAAAAAGACAGCTTTCCGCAAGTAGAACATGACCTTTATTTCTGAAGTGAAGTCAGGTTGATTTTTGAAAGTTCCCTGAGACAGGAATCACAGTATCTGAAAGATTATCACAGAACAACAGCAAGTCAGCCTTGACCTTCATTGCAACCTTTTATTATTAATATTCTTTTTTTTTATTTTACTTTAAATATTAACAGGATTTTTTTTCACATAAACAATCACAGAACAGACTCACAAACATGACAAAATAAATATACAAGTTTCACAAGTTCATTTTCTTTTTTTTTTTTACTTAAATAATTAATAAATAAATACAGCATTTTAATATACTGTTGTCAGTGCCTGGAATATCGTGGCCCTTTTTGTGATAGAGAAGGACGCAGTGGATTGTAAAAAAATGACCACTGAAGCCTTCACCAGCAAAGAAGGGGGTTACATAAATTAAAAAAAAGTTACAACAAACAAAAAAAGAAAGAAAAAAAATAACTTTTTTTTCCCTTTGCCCAATAAAATGAAACTAAACAAAAATATCAAAACTCCTGCTTTATAAAATATCTTTAAAAAAATCCCATTGCTTAAAAGAATAAATAACAAAATATATAAAAAATAACTAGGTTTCTTCAAAACTATTAGCTGTAGATAGTGTCTTTTATTTTTTTTTTCCATGGAATATAATCTGTGAAAAGTTTTTTTTTTTTTAATTACTGTTTTTCCATATTTTTTTTTCTTTTTTTTCTTTTTTGCTCTTTCCCCTTATTGACATGGGTGTCCAGTTAAAAAAAAAAGAATAATTTAAAATAAATTTTAAATAAATATGAAATGCTCATGTGTGGATTAAAAGGAATAAATTACAACAGAACTTCTTAAAAATTAAATAATTTACACAATTAATTAAAACTATCGCTATTTTTTTTTTCCCCGTGGAAGTGCAGCTGTTCTACTGGTTATTATGCTAACTGTTTTGTATTCACAAACCTCGTGGATTCTATTTACAAAACTAGGGCCTTTTCCTTTTTTTTTTGATTTGCAAAGTACATGCAAGCTTTAAAAACCAGACATCAGCTTGGACAGATCCAATTATTTCTTGGGGATTTCCTTTTCTAAAACATCCCTACTGATATTCTGGAAAAAAATTTTGGAGATTTTTTTTTTTGCCCATCCATTAAAAATACGTATCCACGGAAAGCCTCAGTGCACTAGTCAGTAGTTTTTTTTTTTTTTTTCGACAGGCAGTCAAGAGTTCATGTAAGTCCTAAAGTGCACGGTGAGAAGTTAAATATTGTTTTGAACCCCCGTCAGTGCTTTGTGTCATGCAGTAAAATTTTCCTAACAGTCCCCAAAAAAATAACAATATATGGGTGGAAAAGGATAAATTAAGAAAACGATAAGGCTGGACTTAGCAAATTAAATTTTTAAAAGTTAAAGAAAACACTTAAAACTATTTTTTTTTAATCTCTATGCCTAAATACAATAACCTATTATCTCCGTTACAAAATAATTTGAAAATACGAGCTGTTGATAACTTTGTTAGGAGTGGTATTATTTACAAGGAAATGATTCCAGAACTTAGCACCTGAGGAAGGTTGCCTAGCTCTTTCTCTGGAGTTCATAACCAAGGTCTAGCCACTGGTTTGCCTGGTTTTTTTGTTTTTTTTTTTTTGCTTTTTTTTTGTTTTTATGGGTTTTTTTTTTTTTAGTTCATGACTATGGTGTAGACATTTGATGCTCAATTATATAGTGTTAGGCATAGGTAATTCAATTATCTTTCTTTTAGTGGGGTCCAGGCATAGGGTTTACCTGTTTATGGTATCTAAAATCTAGACTTCTATTAAATAGTTATAGGCATTTTACTTGAATTTTGGACTAAGGCCCAGGTATAAGTTACATGCTTAGTTACTGAAAACAGATATAGGGGTGCCTGCTTGTTTTTAAGGACGTACAGATACAAGTCGCTTAGTTTTTTCACAGGAAAATAGAGGCAGGTTACCTAAATTCAACATTTTTCACAGCGAAGGATCGTTTGACTTATTTGCCTTTCACTGCGGCATAGACATAGGTCACCTAATCATCCAACTTTCCCTGAAAGTTCACCTAAAAGCCTACTATAGGATTGGAAAAATGTATTGCAATAAATGTACAACTGTTTTCAGCTGTTTTCCTGAATAATTAAAAAAAAAAAAAAAAAAAAGTTAATAAAAACGTCCAACAAATTTTACATTTAGGCACAGCAGACTCCATTTAACGCAACAGATATTGTTGCCCTCGTAGGTGGGGTGGTACTGCTATTTTTGTTTTTCTTCCGTTAAAAACTAAAGAAGAGGTGCCAGGCATCCAATCAAAAGGCATCCCCACCCTTCCTGCAAGATGCAAGGAACATCGTTGCTTTACAATTCTTGCACTGCAGCACACAAGGGACAAGAACAATACCAAATTTTTTTTTTTCTAAAAAAAATCATAGACACGGTAACATGACAAAGAGATCCGGCCCTCCCACATCCACTCGACATCGGCAAAATCACGTTTAAGGACGTTCACGTTAGCAACGTGTTTTGAAGCGGCTAGTTTACTGATCTCCAACTGCTCATGGTAGGGTTAAGACGCAAAAAAAAAAAAAAACTGCGCAGTTGGTAACTCCAAAAGCTTTCCCTGAGAACCGATAATCCTTTGCGCTTCTGTCGGAATTATAGAACTGCTCTTCAAATGTTTTTCTCGCAGAAAAAAAAAAAGTAAAAAAAATAGTGAGGACTCTTCTTGTGTATAATACTTTGTCTTTATCTTCCCCTGCCAGACTTAGTTGCAACAGAACACAATGACTGACATGGCCCAGACAGTGAATCCGTGGAGATTACGCTCCCATTTTGGCTTCCGGTTGGGTGTGGTCCATGTACAAATCTCAGGGATTTGCGGCGGTCAAGTAATTTTTCCGGGATCTCGTATGCGGGACGTAGATGGTGGGGGCTGGATTGTGACCATTTTTCACTTGCGGGAACCTCCTTTTTCGCAAATGATCCCCACATTCTGTCTGGTAACCACATACAACTGACAGAAAAAAAAATGCAGTCCAACTTTTTGGGCTTCTTCATTTTCTTTTAAATTATTTTGGTCCTTTAAGTTTTGATTCAAAGTACAAACCGCGAAGGTTCGTGAACCTGAATACTAAATGGGAAAGTCCATCTATTCCCTTTTTTTTTTTTTTTTTTTTTTTTTTTTTTTAGACCTGAATACCTTTAACCGCTTGTTTGATACTTTCAAGCAAAGCTTTGTTCTCCGGGTTTTGGTAACACTCTTTGTTACTGTACATGTCGGTTAGGGTGTTGACATAGGCATCGAAATTCTGTTCACTGATGGGCTCCTGTTTATAAGAAGAAAGCAAAAACATTATTTTATAAAAAATGATACATTTCTATACGTTTACTGCCTTAGTGTTCATTCTTCATAACGTATTAAAGTCTAATCTAGACTCTTGAAGCTGTCAAAGAATGTTAGGCAAAACAAAGATAAATGGGAACGACATTTGGTTTTTTGGGACGATAAGTGCTCATGCTATAAAAATGGCTCACGAAGATCTAGAAGCACATTTGTGGTGTTAAGTGATGGCAGAGTTTGACCTTCTGGAGGTGGCTGCAGTTCTGTATTGTTATAAAAAGGTTTTTGGGTTTATCTTTGAATCAACAACTCACCAGATGTGGAAGGCGAATGTTGGTAAGACTTCGTATGAGAGCCTGACTTAGTCCAGAAAGTTCTACAAATAGGGCCTCATTTTGCTCCTCGATGACCTTGTTTTCATCTTCAATGTTCTTCAGATTCTTCTCCATTGATGTTATCTGTAGTCATTAAAAAAAAAACACCATTAATGTCTTGCAGAATTAAACCTGACAATGCAGCCTATCCATTCACTACAAACCAGTGACATCACTGAGAATGCAGCCTATCCATTCACTAGAAACCAGTGACATCACTGAGAATGCAGCCTATCCATTCACTAGAAACCAGTGACATCACTGAGAATGCAGCCTATCCATTCACTAGAGACCGGTGACATCACTGAGAATGCAGCCTATCTATTCAGTGGAGACACATGACATCACTGAGAATACAGCCTATCCATTCACTAGAGAGCGGTGACATCACTGAGAATGAGGCCTATCCATTCACTAGAGACCAGTGACATCACTGAGAATGAGCCTATCCATTCACTAGAGATTGGTGACATCACTGAGAATGCAGCCTATCCATTCACTAGAGACCAGTGACATCACTGAGAATGCAGCCTATCCATTCACTAGAGACCGTTGACATCACTGAGAATTCAGCCTATCCATTCACTAGAGACCAGTGACATCATTGAGAATGCAGCCTATCCATTCACTAGAGATCAGTGACATCACTGAGAATTCAGCCTATCCATTCACTAGAAACCAGTGACATCACTGAGAATGCAGCCTATCTATTCAGTGGAAACACATGACATCACTGAGCATACAGCTTATCCATTCACTAGAGACCAGTGACATCACTGAGAATGCAGCCTATCCATTCACTAGAGAAGTAGCTAGGATGGAGGGTCAGAGAGGCTTTGATAAATGTCACTGACCTGAGACTGTAGGTTCACCATGTCTGCTTCCATCTCGGTGTTGGACTCTGTGAGCTCGCTAATCTCCTTGTTCAGCTGTTTAATCTCTTCATCATTCTCTAACACTGAAAGAGGAAGCCAGCTGTCAGGAAGGCACAGGAGAGCAAACCAAATGTCGAGAGCGATGGTTTTATAGAAACTTTATATCACCTTGGTATTTACATGGTAAACCTGATACAGAAAATCCTAACTGGTTTCAAGACCCATCCCCCAACTCTCCTTCTTCTACCTATATATCTGTGCACAAAGCACATCAGAAGTGCACAATTACAAGTTCCAAAACATTCTAATGCCTATTTTCTTCTTTAAACTCCTTTATCCTCTGCGCTCTAACTCCTCTTCAGGTGTGCAAATCTCCATGTATGAGTTAAGATGTGCACAATAAATTTCTATCATTTCTGTAGGACTTTGTACAGGACGGAGGTGGACATGTTGATAACAGATTTTTACATAAAGCATATCACTGTCCTGTCAGAAATAGCGGTCTTTTTGTTACAGTTGATATGGGGGGCACTGATATATAAAAACAAAAGACAGCAACATATCCAGAGGTATAACTAGAACCTTCAGGACCCCAGTGCAAGAAGCCGCGAAGGGCCCCCCCTGACTGCCAGTGCCCTTTCCATTGTCCTGGGGCCCTTTCCTCTGATCCTAGGGCCTTTCCCTCCGAGCCCAGGGCCCTTTCCTCCCATCACAGGGACCTTTATAAGCCTAGGTTTACACTATTGCAACTTATTATGCGACTTGCGACACATGGGGGTTTATTTACTAAAGCTGGAGAGTGCAAAATCAGACTCACTTCTGCATAGAAACCAATCAGCTTCCAGGTTTCATTGCCAAAGCTTCATTGAACAAGCTGAGGTTAGAAGCTGATTGGTTTCTATGCAGAAGGGAGTCTGATTTTGGACTCTCCAGCTTTAGTAAATAAACCCCATAAAGTCACATGACAAGTCAAAACACATTCATTTCAATGGGTGCCGTCTTACTCAGTGCAACAAAAATAAAGGTTCTTGAACTAATTTTCTGCGACTTTGGCACAATTTGAGTGCCATAGACTGCAATGTTAAATCACAAAAGTTGAAAGTGAGATGCAAGGAATTTGTAAGGAAATCTCAATGAAATTGCAAGCAAGTCACATGGCTTTGGGGGTCACAGCAGTGTAAACCAAGTTTTGCTGTCACAGCAGGACCCTTTCACGTGTTCTGCAAAGGGCCCCCTTCCTGCCATCTTGGGGCCCTCCCACGATGGCGGTACGCCAGGGACAAGTTGCAGGAGCAACCTTTGCTATCCTGGTAGTTCCACCACTGAACATATCTGTCCAGTTCTGCTGAAACTGCATATTCTAGGACCCATTTTGCCTTTAAAGGGGACCTGTCCAAATGGTTGTTATTTGACACAGTGCAACCTCCCATCCAGTGCTGGATTCAGGGCAGAGACTGACTCTGCTGTGGAGCCAGAAGCTGGCTTGGGCTTGATAGTTAACAAAAGCATTATTATTATTATTATCATACAGGATTTAAAATGGCACCAACAGTATGATTCCCTTTTATACCTGCCTGGTTGACATGGATGTGGTAGGTGATCGTTTCCCTTTCCATTGGAGAAAAAGGAACACTGTGAAACAAAGACTTGCTGTTTGACAACGCAACCTTTCAAAAATCCAGGGCACTTACCATCGCTGGTTTTGAATTTTGTCCCTAGAAGCTCGTCACCTGAGAGTTTTCCCTTTTTGGAAGCAAAAGAAGCCCGTGGACAGCCTGACAAGCTGAGGATAAAAACGTGAGAGAAATTCAGCCTCCTTTACTGTAGGCAAAGCAGCAATGGCAGACACAAAGATCAATTTAAAACCAGCAGAAAGGGGGTATGGTGTATGTGGGCAGGGTGGTACACAGATCAATACCAACATTCCCAGCACACTTTTTGGCTTATCAGGACAAATTAATTAAACTGAAAGTCATACGTTTTGTGATGCATACATTTGCAATTACATGTAAGGCCACACTACCTTGTCAAGGCGACTCTGCAATGGGTGAACTGCTAAACAAAATATGGAACATAATGACCAGGAACAGCAACAAGAGACCCCAAGATGAGCAGAAGCAGAGCTAAGAAGGTGCAGAAGATGCTGCCATTTGAGTTTCCATGTTATCTAAGAAGCTATGTGGCGACTTGGCCCTCCAAACCCCATGATGAAGATGGGCGATAATTTGCTCCTGTCTGGAAGGTGTAGAGCCCAGCCTATAACCATTAATATATTTTTGTTATTTCCTTACCTGCGGTGGGTTAAGAAGCTTCCGTTAGCGTGGCCTGATCCATCGCAACCAGGCGTTGGGCAGGTGGGACCCTCGTTTTTCAGAGACTTCCAGGAAAAGGCAGATCCGTTGAGAGTTCCTTCTTTCTGCCTGCGAGCAGCTAACGGACAGCCGGATGCACTGCGGTGAGATGCGTATTTCCCACTGATGTGTCCCAATCCATCACACCCCGGCACTGGACACCTGTGTGCAGAGAAATGTGTTATATAAATGCAATGCATTTTAATAACATGAACAATTACGATATATCTAAAGCCCACATTTTTTTTTTTTTTGGTAGGGAATGGTCAAGTTTTTTTCTGTCATTTGTGTCCCATTGGGGAGATTCACCTTGACCAGGGGGCGGACTGACCATTTGGAAACTCGGCACTGCCCGAGGGCCCGGGGTCAATAGGGGGCCCCATGAGATGCCCCTGGTACCTTTTTCATAGGTTTTTTTGAGTTTGGGCAAGGACACAGGGGCCCCATGATCCCCTATTCCCCGGGGGCCCCATGAGTTGTCAGTCCGCCCCTGACCTTGACTTCCTGTCTTGCAGACACCAAAGGAAGTGAAAGGAAATCTTTTGACAATTAAAAAGAATTCTCTTTTGTCACCAGAACCTAAATGTGGGTTGTGCGGTTGAGCCGAGTTTTTGCCACCCAACAAACCACCAACCCCCTTAGCTGCAATAGGCAGTGGACGGCGATGTTTACATGTCGTGTGCACAGCTAACTTGACCCGACATGTATCACTCAGCGGGCAGCAAGCTCGCCAAACACTACACATGCAAGTCAATGGGGAAATGCAGTAAATGCCCTGCAATGCACACGGTTGTAGCACAATTGTTGGCAAAAATTAGGTTAAAACAGGCGGTGAAGAGGCATCACATTGCTTCCTCACCTCCTGTCAGTAGTCTCTGGAGTGTGATTCCAACGCAGATCAGGCATCCGAGGCAAGGGAGATTTATATGCATGTCTAAATCTACCCTATTAGGCATACAGGGTACACACTACACATTTATTTTTTCAGGTACTTATATAACGCCATCAATTTATGCAGCACTTTACATATATATTGTACATTCACATCAGTCCCTAACCCTCAAGGGGCGTACAATCTAAGGTCCCTAACCCTCAAGGGGCGTACAATCTAAGGTCCCTAACCCTCAAGGGGTGTACAATCTAAGGTCCCTAACCCTCAAGGGGTGTACAATCTAAGGTCCCTAACCCTCAAGGGGCATACAATCTAAGGTCCCTAACCCTCAAGGGGCGTACAATCTAAGGTCCCTAACCCTCAAGGGGTGTACAATCTAAGGTCCCTAACCCTCAAGGGGTGTACAATCTAAGGTCCCTAACTCACAAGGGGTGTACAATCTAAGGTCCCTAACCCTCAAGGGGTGTACAATCTAAGGTCCCTAACTCACAAGGGGTGTACAATCTAAGGTCCCTAACCCTCAAGGGGTGTACAATCTAAGGTCCCTAACTCACAAGGGGTGTACAATCTAAGGTCCCTAACCCTCGAGGGGCGTACAATCTAAGGTCCCTAACTCACATTCATACATACTAGGGCCAATTTTAGACAGGATCCAATTAACCTACCAGCATGTCTTTGGAGTGTGGGAGGGAAACCAGAGTACCTGGAGGAAACCCACGCAGGCACAGGAAGAACATGCAAACTCTAGGCAGGAGGTGCTGTAGCTGGGATTCAAACCAACGACCCGAGTACTGCCAGGCGGAAGCGCTAACCATTTAGCCACTGTGCTGTCCCACACATAAAAAGCAAGAGATACCCCTGAAATCCTGATAACTTCTGGACTGCAGAGTTTGTCTCAGCAGCCTCTTCTATGGGGCCTCCTCCCACCCCCAGGCCCCACTGCAGACACATGAGCTGCTATGGCTATGCTTTCACCTTTGGATTAAATGGCAGAAAAGAACAAAACCAAATTATAGCAACATAGTCGCTATATTTGTCCAGTTCACACTTGCATAGTGATCCATGCCATACTGGGATGGCTCACAAGGAACAAATATTTTAATTTATCCGCACGGTCCAGGCAAGTAGAAGCGGGGAAACACCACGTTAACCATGGTTTTTTTTTTCAAGCTGATTAAACTGGGCTATGCTGTGTGAAGTAGAGTTTAGCGGAGTCCTTCCTTAATCATCTCTCCGTGCCGCACAATTTCCTTCTAATATTGTCATCAGCGGGAACCCAGGAAAACATTGCAAGAAAGGCGCTGTGCGCTGATACATTTGCAAGCAAATTAGGAGGTCCTCCAGAGAGGGGGAGCGTCACACCGTTATAGCAGTTAATCTATCAGATTTACACGGCTATTAGAAAGTTTATGACATGTTTGAGGGAATAACTCACAGAGCTGAACATCTGTCTGCTGCGCCCGTTGCACCCTCGGAGGATTTCCTGCGATACGCTTAAAAAGGCATTCTAGTCACAAAAAATGGATCTACTTGAGTAGGTATAACAGTGACTACCAGATTGGAATATCTCCTTCTGTGCAGCCAGGACTTGCGCTATCAGTGGCTCCCTGACACATACTTGACCCGCTACCCAACTTTCAAGAGTTGAAACATGAGACTGCAAGATCTACATTTTCTCTAGAGAGTCTACCCCATTTCTTAATACTGATGATTTATCACCTCCCACTTCCAGTTCTTGAATCATACATCAGCTGGACCTTTAGTTCTTACTTTAGCAGTCAGTGCAGGCGTGCCCAATGTCTGATCTAAAATTTCAGCTGGTGTGCAGGGAATGATGTGTATTTAATATGAAGAAGGAATTAGAATGATTATACTTGTTTCAAGCTGAACCTGATGCACATATACAAAAAAAATCACTTTTTAACTCAAGCTAGTATTGAAAAAAAATCATGACGTGCCTTTTTAAATGCAGCTAGTATAAGTACCTGAGCCTACCTTTAAATTAGCTTCCTATAATCCTTTTCACATCAATCCCTAGGTTTGGTCAGGGAGAGACAACATTGCCAGTCAGCCTCTACTGCACAGCACTGTGCTGTCAATCTTACACTGGAGGCTTGCAGACAAGAGCAAGAAGCACAAAGATGATCACATCAGCATGCTGCTATTTCTTCATCTTCTAAGCAGCTGAATGGGGAAGGCACACGGCTCTGAACAGAATTACAATTCTATGTGTGTGTTTGTGCGCATGCATATATACGCATATATATAGATATATACACACACGAGGGGTCTTCAAAACGTTTCCACATTTTATATATATATATATATATAATATATATATATATATATATATATATATACACAGTATATATATACTGTATATGCAGACACCTTTTGATGACTCTTGTGTGTGTGTATATTTTTATTTAATATATATATATATATATATATATATATATATATATATATATATATATATATATAAAATTAAAAAAATATATATATTTAAACTTAGGCTTTATTTTTTCCTTTAAGAGCAAGAAAGATTCCATTGAAAAAATGTGTCTGCTTGTCACGTGTGGGTAATTGCAACGAGAGTTATTTGTGTTAACATCTGTGGTGGCTTCCTTGAAGGATAATTAAAGTGGCGATGGGTTCGGAATTGCTCGTTGCCCAGTGGGTGGCTGCATAGCTCAGTCTTGTTCCTGAGTGCCGCACGGTATCCCGCCGCTGCCGCAGAATAACTTCCATTCTAGAAAACTTAGCCCAACCGCTGGGGGTGACTATTGATAGAAGGCCGCTCTCCTGCCCCCAAGGGCCAGAGGCAATTGGCAGCTGTGGGGGTTCATAAATGTGCCGCTTCTACGTGATGCGCTCACCATGGTGACTGTCACTTGATGCCGACGGGAGCCCGCCGCTTAAATGCGTTTCATTTTTCATCCCCGGCTGATATCGCCCTGCATCGTTCTTGAAAACATGGGCAGTTTTTATAAGGTGACATCCCCCATTAAGATACAAAGCACAGGAAGGTAGCGAAATTATTTTGAGCCATATTTCTCATGTTCAGTTTGCACATATAAACATTTCTGCAGGATGTCAGATTTTCATTTGTGATAGTGTAATAGTATGTATCATAGTGACGTGTGTGTTCAATAATGAGCTAATGAGATCACGACAAGGTCCGTAAGGTAGAAATGGAACGTCAGGGATGACTCTCTGGTGGCCTGACACTTGATGCAGCACCTCTTAGGAGACTGAAGAATCTCCTGGTGAACAAGTAAGAACAGGAGGGCGCCATCTGAGTGTAGTATATTACAAATGTATTGTGAAGAAAGATAATTGGCAACTCACACGTGGCAGATCAAAACATGTTGATGTTTTTTATCTGCCACATGTGAGTTGCCAGTTGTCTTATACCACAACAGATTTGTAATGTACTACGCTCAGATTGCACCCTCCTGTTCTCCTTACTTGTATCATAGAATAAAAGGGATATCACATACATTAGAATCTTTGTATCTTCTTGTCCAAGTGACAACCACCCACCTCGTTTTATGGTCCTGCTGTCACATGGACAGGAAGTGAGGTGTAATATCCCCATCAGGGCTGACAGACAAAAATAAAAACGCAACAAAATGATTTACTATTATAAGTTTATCCTAAACTTTAAAAAGAACAGTTTGGCTGAAGTTCAGTTTTGATAGTCTTCAACTTTTGACACAGCCCCACCCCCTTTTTATTATCTGAGGAAGGAATTGTATGGTACACTGCCTACTACTACATAGTGAGCCAATCAAGTATACAAACAGAATTAGTTTTTTTTTGACAAACAAAACTTACTGGAACTTGCATAAATAATGTTATATAGCGGCAATGGTCTGAGCCTCAGGCACAACACTACCTGCATGGACTTTGCATGTTCTTCTTGTGTGGGTTTCTTCCCAGTACTTCGGTTTCTTCCCACACTCCAAAGACAAGCCGCTAGGTTGATCAGCTCCTGTCTAAACTGGCCCTAGTATGTGTATGTATCCATGTGAGGTAGGAACCTTAGATTATAAGTTCCTTGGGGGCAGGGACTGATGTGAATGCACAATTTGTAAAAATGCTACAGAAATTGTAGGTGCTATATAAATAACTAGTAAAAAAATAAATATAATCTTTTGAGCTGTCTTTCCTGATTGACTTTATATACAAAAAACTGATTGCATTTGTATATTTTGTGTTTGTTTGCATCTTTTATTCTTCATTGCTTGACATGCCTTTTTTTTATCCTGAGCACGTTCCCATGAGGTACTCACTTCAGAAGTTCTGGGTCGTCCTTGTCGTCTTTCGTGGGCGTAACCTTCATTCCGCTTTTCTTGGCACGAGGACAACCTGACAAGCTGTAAATCGAAAGAAGAGGATGTAATTATTGCCGTATGGTTTGCTGAGATAGCGTACATCCTATTCCCAGGCTGCTGTTCACCTGAGTGGCCTGGCAGATGCTATAAGGAGGGTTCTAAGGGAAATGAAGGCCAGTGAGTCAGACACTGCTGGGTCCCCGGGGCAATTAAACCAATCGCTTTACTCAAGGCTATTCAAATGCAAAAGGATTCTCTTTCCAGGAACGGTATCAAGTCATTCAAATGTCATTTTAAAAAGATTTTCAGTTTGGCAAGCAATACTTGTAGCAAGGCAAGGTTTTCGAGATATGTCAGTATTTGGTGGATGAAGAAAGGTTATTTTACTTGACAGCATCCTGTATTTTCTTGATGGCCAGGGTGATAAGATCTTCGTGCTTGGATAACCAAGGCACTTCACCTGTCATGGCCATTATGATGGTCCCATTCTCTCTGTTGGGTTCTTAGAAGATGAGGATGCTTAGTCTGCTAAGGTGGGTGGAAACAGAGCCAGGATCTATGGTATCTCATCTCCAGAGTCTTCAAGAAATACAGGACGCAAGGGCTTGACTCACTCCACCAGGCTTCTCTATAATGAATAAAAAAGCATTGGGTGCACACAAAATGACCAGCCTTACCCCAGTTCTACTGCTATATTTATTATTCAGAAACTGGAGACCAGTGCTCTGGCTGGGGCGTTCATCTCCCAAAGCTTAAATCTATAATGTATAAACCAGCCACTTGGTGTACTCTTGATAAGAAAATCCTTTTATTGGCTACATGTGAAATGACACATCAAAAAATGCAACATGTTTCGGCTTATACAGCCTTCTGCATAGCATGGTATGCTATGCGGAAGGCTATATAAGCCGAAACACGTTTAATTTTTGATGTTGTGTCATTTTACATGTAGCCAATAAAAGGAATTTCTTATCACTGTGTACACCAAGTGGCTGGCTTTATACATATTGGGTGCACACACCCTTTAAAAGGGAAGGTCCACCCAAAATTTGAGGTGGGATCTCTTTGACAGACTTCTCAGTTCTGCCTTTCTCCTTAGCCCTAAGAAAAAAGTCAGCCCGGCCTTCTTTCTGGCTTCTTTATGATATCCAAATATTGTAGGTAACTATCTTGTAATGCCTGGATAAGGTAGTTGAACCCAAATATTACAAGAACTGGGAACTCAGGAGAAGAGATTAAGACAAACCGTTTTTGTTGCTTTCTTTTTTCATCCAATACAAAAGATGCAAACAAAATGTAAAATCTTGAAACATGACATGAGGAAGCAACATCAACCAGGCATACTGGCTCCAACAATCTGATGTAGATAGCATAGAACGGGTTTGCTTTATTATCCCACTGTGATGAGGTTCATAATGAAAGTCATGGAAAAGGTTTCTCCCATGTGTTTTGGGCACTTGTTTCGGGAGGTGGTTGTAGGAACATGACTCAGGATATAAAAGAAACATAATGATGTCTCAGGGGACCATACCTCCGATGAGATGCATAATTCCCTGTAATGTGTCCAGACCCGTCACATCCTGGAGTGGGGCACCTGGAGAAGACCAAACAAAAGAAGGAAGTTAGGGCTCCAGTTTAGTTCACCTATCTGCAGGACGTTTCTTACTGTAAGTACAGTGAAGAATTGAACATTTTACAGTGGTATATCTGTTCATATAAAGAACAAATGTCTGGGAACCATATCAGCTCCTGAAAACTGTCTAACAATCTTAGGACAACACCACTGTATGGAGCCCATGGTGGACAATCAAGATATAGTTTGTTTTTGGTCTATGAATGAACCAATCATTTTTAAGACAACCTGTCATCTCTATACAATGGTGATGACTACAGATCATTTTCACATTCTCTTTTTTTTTCTTTTTGCAGTTAACTATGGAAAAGTTTTCATGCAGCAGCATGGCAATTCGCCTTGAAGAAACACAGACAAAATCTGCTTAGAGTTGGCAAGTCTTGAGCTGCTCAATCACTTTTTTTTACAATATAGAGTTTGTTTTGGAAATATAAAGCTTTATTCCACCTTTCTGAGAAACCAGATATTCCAGCCAAGGTTAATAAGAAAACAACGGAATCCTCATTATCGAAGAAGATGTTGGTAATGACCTGTACAGACAGTGAGAGTATACCTTGTGCTCACTGGGTAATGTTCATGGTATACTGTATGTCTGTCTGCTGCTGCCTAACCACAAATTACAATGGATTCTTCTGAAATGCGTAGTGAGCGTGTGAAACAGCTATAAGTTAAGCGATGAGCCTGCAGGTCTGAGGGTCTGAGTACAAATATTCAGCTAAATTAAAAGTTTGATAGTTTCTGATTCTCTTAAAACCTGAATGTCACAAAAAACTGTACTTGGACTTTCAATAGCTAAAAACCCCACGCAGAGGTTATTGGGAGGCATACTATTAGGCACAGTGGATACTTCAAAGTCCTGTACTAAAACATCAATGGGTAGGATGGTTTAAATGCCTGATAATGTCCCGAAGAATAATCTAGAAACTTGCAAAAGGTGGAATAATCCTTTAAAGCACATGTATATTTTAGGATTAAACATAATGCTGTAAAAGAGGAGGGTAAGGGTAGGAAATTCAGAATTTTCAATGATAAGTGTATTTTAGAAGCATCATTTTTTAGGCCTACTAAAATCTGGCCATAGGCACTACAACCAATTTAAAGGACTACGTAACAATTCATTCTATTTGTATGTAATCAGGCAGGGCATTGTGCTATATGATTGTTTAAGATTCTACAATCAAACTTCATATGTATAAATGTACCAATTCTGTGGTGCCACCAATGATTTTGAAAATCGGTTGTTTTTCATGAATTTTCCAACATGCCAAATAAATGAAATGGGGAGGAACCACAAAAAAGCGCATGGTGCCATTGCCTCACTAACAGAGCGAAAATCAGTTGATTATTCTTAGGTCCGATTTCCGCACGAAAAATGTATTTACATATGTATACAGTATATGACCATCTTTATCTTATGTTCATCTATGCCACTGGTCTCCAAACTTCAGCCGGGGGGGGGGGGGGGGGATATGGCCCTTTCCATGCCTTTAACTGGCCCTTGAGGCACTATTCTTCCCACGTACCCCCAATGATAGGGACTATTCCTCTCACTGATACCAATGATGGGGCACTATTCCTCTCACTGACACCAATGATGAGGCACTTTTCCTCCCACTGACACCAATGATGGGGCACTATTCCTCCCACTGATACCAATGATGGGCACTATTCCTCCCACTGATACCAATGATGGGGCACTATTCCTCCCACTGATACCAATGATGGGGCACTATTCCTCCACTGATACCAATGATGGGGCACTATTCCTCCCACTGACACCAATGATGGAGCACTATTCCTCCTACTGATACCAATGATGGGGCACTATTCCTCCCACTGACACCAATGATGGGGCACTATTCCTCCTACTGATACCAATGATGGGGCACTATTCCTCCCACTGATACCAATGATGGGGCACTATTCCTCCCACTGACACCAATGATGGGGCACTATTCCTCCACTGATACCAATGATGGGGCACTATTCCTCCCACTGATACCAATGATGGGGCACTATTCCTCCCACTGATACCAATGATGAGGCACTTTTCCTCCCACTGATACCAATGATGGGGCACTATTCCCCCCACTGATTCCAATGATGGGGCACTATTCCTCCCACTGATACCAATGATGGGGCACTTTTCCTCCCACTGACACCAATGATGGGGCACTATTCCTCCCACTGATACCAATGATGGGGCACTATTCCTCCCACTGATACCAATGATGGGACACTATTCCTCCCACTGATACCAATGATGGGACACTATTCCTCCCACTGATACCAATGATGAGTCACTTTTCCTCCCACTGACACCAATGATGGGGCACTATTCCTCTCACTGACACCAATGATGAGGCACTTTTCCTCCCACTGACACCAATGATGGGGCACTATTCCTCCCACTGATACCAATGATGAGGCACTTTCCTCCCCCACTGATACCAATGATGGGGCACTATTCCCCCCACTGATTCCAATGATGGGGCACTATTCCTCCCACTGATACCAATGATGGGGCACTATTCCTCCCACTGACACCAATGATGAGACACTATTCCTCCCACTGACACCAATGATGGGGCACTATTCCTCCCACTGACACCAATGATGGGGCACTATTCCTCCCACTGACACCAATGATGGGGCACTATTCCTCCCACTGATACCAATGATGGGGCACTATTCCTCCCACTGACACCAATGATGGGACACTATTCCTCCCACTGACACCAATGATGGGGCACTATTTCTCCCACTGACACCAATGATGGGGTACTATTCCTCTCACTGACACCAATGATGGGACTCTATTCCTCCCACTGACACCAATGATGGGACTCTATTCCTCCCATTGACACAATGATGGGGCATTGTTACCAATGCCAGGACATTTTCTACTCCTACTAGCCCCTCTAAAGTCTGAAGGATAATAAACTGGCCCTTTGTTTAGAAAGTTTGGAGACCCCTGTTCTATACTGTTTTTCTTTTACATGGCAGCTTTTGAGGTTGGGTTATTAGGGGAAGTTAGGTGCAAAAAATTAATTCAGTGAAGTATTTCATGACCAAATTTCAATCAGCTGTCATGGTACCACGAATATATGTTGCATGGCAACTTAGCATTTTGCACTTTTTCCTTGAAGTCAAGGGATCCTTTGCTTGACTACAACCAGTGACCTAATTTGGATGGATATTGATTTTTTTTATACTTCCTACCCTCCCCATTTGAGTGTATTGTATAATTGTCAGGCGAGATCAAATCGGGTCAATCTAAGCAGATTTTGACATGAAGCAGGAGGATGCAAGAGCAGGGGGGAAGAGGACAGGCAGAGGCAGCGGGACTTTCAGCAGCAGCAGCAAGTGCAGACATATCTCAGTGCAAACATACTTGAGATCAGCAGAATGGGCAGCCATGAGATTTCTGAGACTCTTGTCAGCAAGAGGACAACCAGAAAGGCTGAAAGAGAACAGATAGAAATCCGGATAAGCAAAACAAAAAAAAAGGAGAGTGCGGGATAGTACTAAACAGCCTGCAAGCCAAAGCGGAGAAGAGCATTGGAGAAACCACTAACCTGCGGTGGGAGGCATAGTTTCCTGTGATATGCCCACTGCCATCACATCCTGGGGTTGGGCAACTGTGGGGAGAGAAGACGCTATTAGTACCTGCTACAGCATATGCATCACTCAGACCTGGCAAGTGTCAGTTAATGGTTACATGTCTAGAAGGCCTCATTTGCTAAAACCTGGATCTGTATTGCAACTAATCTGAGCACAGCTGTCATTTACCAAGAGCAATTGGGAAAATAAAACATCTGCATGTGTCCTATTGCATAATTTCCTTTCTGCCGGAGGTATGTAGGTGAACCACAGAGAAAAAGGCTCATTTAGCAAAACTGCAGTCAATGATACCGCCTGTAGCAACAAGCTTGCACTAGAAACATGAGAGATGGACGACGTGCCCGGCTAAAAGCACCAGTTAACAAATAACCAACTGGAGGGAGTTTATATATTGCTAGGGTGTATTGCTAACAGAAAGAATATTTTACATTGTAATCTGATGGAAAGCAACTGGACTTTTCGCCACATTCCATCAGAACCCATTGCTTACCCAGCAGATATTTTGTTAAATTTTATTTTTAATTCAGCTTTTTATTATTATTATACAGGATTTATATATTATTATACAGGATTTATGGCGCCAACAGTTTGCTCAGCGCTTTACAATATAACGGAGACAATACAGAAACAATACAGTTCAATACAAGAGGGATAGGAGGGCCCTGATCCTTAAAATTACATTGAAATTGGGATTAATTGTATTCCTACATGTATGGCTAGCATATTATTTTTTATTTTTAAAAAGAAAAAAGCATTATGCCTGTGGCTTAACCACTCTACTGGTAGGGCCTGAATAGTCACAGAAATCAAAAAGCGACTGTAGTCTGATCTTTGCAGATAGAGACTGACCCGACATGCTACAATGCCCCATTCCCTGGCTGCTAAGCATGAATTGAGCCATTCATTGTTTAGCATTTCAGGGTGCTTGGCATAGGACCAGCTGCCAAGGGCCCCAAAAATGCCATAGTATAACTGTTCTTTTCCAAGGAAGAAGATCATGGAAAGTTCCTGTGTTTTATCTTGTGAGTGGCAAATTCATTGGTTCAATACGCAACTAATATTGTATATAATGCCATTCTATCTACTTGTATGTGCTTTCTTGGTGCTGCCTTGGCCATATTGGATTAAAAATGTATTAATATTAAAAAAAATCTAGACGTCGGCACCAAATTTAGAGAACACAAAAGGAAACTTGTTACCCCAGAGAGACCAATTCAAATTCCTGTTTACATTTTCAATTAAATTAAAGCTGATTGTACAATGTCAGTACTATAAAAGTTGATAAAAAAAAAGATACTTAAACATAAATAAATAAATAAAGCTGATTGTACAATGTCAGTACTATAAAACTTGATAAAAAAGATACTTAAACATAAAAAATATATATAAATAAATAAATAAATAAAGCTGATTGTACAATGTCAGTACTATAAAACTTGATAAAAAAAAGATACTTAAACATAAATAAATAAATAAAGCTGATTGTACAATGTCAGTACTATAAAACTTGATAAAGAAAGATACTTAAACATAAATAAATATATAAATAAATAAATAAAGCTGATTGTACAATGTCAGTACTATAAAACTTGATAAAAAGAAAGATACTTAAACATAAATAAATAAATATATAAATAAAGCTGATTGTACAATGTCAGTACTATAAAACTTGATAAAAAAAAGATACTTAAACATAAATAAATAAATAAATAAATAAAGCTGATTGTACAATGTCAGTACTATAAAACTTGATAAAGAAAGATACTTAAACATAAATAAATAAATATATAAATAAATAAATAAAGCTGATTGTACAATGTCAGTACTATAAAACTTGATAAAAAGAAAGATACTTAAAACATAAATAAATAAATAAAGCTGATTGTACAATGTCAGTACTATAAAACTTGATAAAGAAAGATACTTAAACATAAATAAAAAAATAATAAATAAAAATAAATAAAGCTGATTGTACAATGTCAGTACTATAAAACTTGATAAAAAAAAAGATACTTAAACATAAATAAATAAATAAATTGGCTGGCTACTGGTAACAGGTCTAATTTTCTGCTCACCATGGTTTTGTTAATCAGCCTCAACTGAAAAAACCTGGTTACTTTGCAATGCAGTGCAATTGATGCACGCGTCACAATGAACATTAAACGCAACAAAAATTGCGACACGAAAAACCACGCGCAATGCTGTGGACAATTGTCAACCTATAACACATGAGGCAACATGATCCTGAGAAAACGAGAAATAAAAATCTACAGGCTATTCTGGCAGGGAGGTCGAAGCAGGTGGCGTCCGTGGAATAAAAAACTCAAATTACTCTCTCTGCGGAGTTAAACGTTCTAGGGTTACCTGGGCTCCTAAAATTAAAGTCTCATCGGTTTTCGGCAGTCTGCTCTGTTCCAGGAAATCTAGCCAGGCAGATAATCATCTTATCTATTTTCTAACACGCTATTTCACACAATGGAGTTTCAACAAAACACGCAGTCTGAATGGGGAAGGAATGAAAAACGCAGTCCTGGAAAGACCAGAAGAAACCTAAGCTGAAATCTAGGGCCGGTTGTTTGGAGGGGGTGGCGGGAATTTAATTTTGAGAATGACGATACAGTTGTATTTCTAAGATGACAGTAACAAATCCAGTCTACAACATTGAAGTATGGATAGAGCAAGAGTCTGGGGCCAAACAAATCTAGAACTTTTATCAAATGGTCTATAACTATACTTTACATTCAAGAATTGCAGCCATATTTCTCAGAGTGGAAAATTTGAACGCTATTCTGATAGGTTTGTAAACTTGTGACCTGTGTATGTGTATATCAATGTCAATTGCCAATCTGCTGCAGATTAAAAATTTGCAAAAATAATTCAATTAGGGGGTCATGTGATTTCATACGAGATAAGACTTAAAACCCATCTCCAACAAAAACGTTTTCGTTTAGGATAGGGTGCGGAATTGCAATAGGGTCTGTCAACATTTTATTGCTATCTGTGTCCCAATTTTGAAGAATTTTCCTTACTTCCTGTGTGTTTGAGGAATGTTGGAACAGAAAATAAGGCAAGCCATAGATAAATCAATTTTATTTGGAAGGAAAGAAAATTGCTCGATTCCCCCATCAATACAGTCAGTGTTGGGGGAATCACTCCTGCAGCACTATTGGGTCGGCAGGGAGCCTTTCCAGCTGGCAGAATACAATGATTATTGCTAATGGCTATATCCTGGCAGTAATCACATGTAAAAAATCCCACAAGCTGGTTGTACCCAAGTCAACTGATGGTTCGACTTGGTACAATCATCCCGCCCATAGATAGATTAAATCTTGGCCGGTCCCTACTGAATTGTCCAAGATTAAATCCCTCTATGGCCAGCTTAAGTAAGAAAGGAGTGGTAAAATACATTTTGTTGAGATTGAGGGAATGTTAGGACTTTTGCAAATATTTTATTGCTCTCTATACCCTATGGAAGATTTCCCCTCACTTCCTGTCCAGGTTTTATTGAGGGAAATCTCCCCGACAGGAACACATGGACAATAGGAACATGTTTTCCATTAGAGTGTTGAAGGTTTGGAACCTTTTGAAGGTACTTTATTGCCATGGGTTCACACTGGGGAGAGTTCTCCTCACTTCCTCTGTCAGATTTCAGAAAGAACAGAAAGAGACAGAGAGCTTTGAAAATGTGAGGTTCTAGAAAAAAACTGTTTGGCTGGAGGCGGGTTTTGAGCCTCTGAAAGTTATTTAATAAAGTAAATTCATCAATTCAACTAACTGCTGCTTTACCTGTTCTCAGGAACCTTTAAGACAAGTCATGAACAATTAAACATTACTATCTCGCTTTTCATGAAACATTACAATCCGCACAGTTCCTAGAGTATGTATCTATGCAGCAAAAGAAGCCATGAAAGTCTAGTCTGGTTTACAGTGAAAAACTAATCAATGCACTGGTTGACCCATCATGCCAAATTTTGTAATATCCCCATTCTCATGGTGCTCTTGCTGTACAGATACATGGCTCCCAACAGCTACATCATTCTACTTTAATTATTGAAGCACAACTTACTCATTCAGGAGAGCTCCTGCCTTTTTTCCAGCTTCTCCCCCTTTTGGACTTGCGCACCCCCCATCACGTACTGGCCGAAAATCCCGTTGAGCAGCAAAATATCTGAGAAAATATCGGTTTCAAGTAAGTTCAACGGGAGGGCCATCTTCTGCCAGACTTAAAGTGTACCTGTCCACCTACACATGGCAGAGGCTGACATTTTAAAAGGCTCAGCAGCTGCCCAACAAGTAAGCAGCCAATGACATCAGGGCAGGAAGCATCTTGTGAGCATGTGTTGAGCCTACGGTATGTCTTTCTCAGCCATGTGTGGGTGAAGGTTACGCTTTAATGCAGGGGTACATCTCGGCAAAACAGGGGACCCTTTATATTTCTTGAGGAAAAAAGGAGCTGACTTACCTGGACCATGAAGCTCAAGGCTAAAAAATGGGACACTTTTTTGTGTACCGTTTTGTAGCCTTGAGTAGTGCTCCACAAATGCAAAAAATACAATATCATACATCCTATAACTGCGCAGTAGCCAATATATCAAAGCCTATCTTCTTGCTGTTCTTCAATAAACGTTGGCTATATCTCGTATTTGAGAACCATTACTAAAGAAAATCCTCCTGGGCAACTCAGGGCACTCCTTTTGTCCACTTACCTGGTCGTCCTAACACACGTATGGGAGGCCATAACTGGAACCTTCAGAAAAGCCTACTGGTTGACTTAGAACTCACGTTTTTGGCTCCCAGACTAAGCTATTGACCCATACACAATTTACTTAGCCAAGTCCCTTCTAATTTTACTTACGTCAGTAATTCTTTCTTGCTGTCCTTGGAAAGAAACTTCAGTTTGAAGTTGCTGAGTGTGACGTCGCCAGGATATTTGCGGTCTTCAAAGCTCTCCTCCTGCATCTCTTGATCATCGGCTTCTGATGAAGCAAAAGAGGCGCCGGCGGGTTCGGACTTTAAAGGAAGATTTTATAATTAAGTTTTACTTTTTTTAAGTTAATTAGAAACTCTGCATCACCAGACAGGGTTGAAGGAACATGTCCTCCGCAACCTACTTCTTCTGGCTCTTCTTCTCGCTGGCGATTTGGCTTAGTGTAGTCGATGGGCCCATCCCAGTCATCCTGTCGGGAAGTCTGGCTGGACTGGGGTGACGTCATGTTGCTGCTGGTGGCACTTGTGCAGTTTTGGCGTTGTGACTGTTCCGGGGATTTCATGCTGGGACTGCTACTGCAACTGCTGCTACTGGGGAATGTGCTCTCCCGTTTCCGGTGTTTGTTCATGCTTAAATCCAAAGTGCCGTTTTCATCTACTTCAATGTCCATTGACTGCAACCACAGACAGATCATTTTTTTTCTTTACTGAACCATTATCAAAATGTACTGGTATAACTGGATAACATCTCCAGAACAGGAAGGAAAGAGTGTGAAATGATCTTCTACCAGTGACTATACATAACTGAAAACTTATTTAAAGTGCCCCTGTCACTTTAGGACCAGATTCAGTATATAATGGGCAGCTCTGCACTTTGTCAGTTATGAAGATTTTGGTCTGTTTTTTTTTTTTTTATAGTGAACCTACCTAGATATTTCAAACTGAGCTCATCATGAATACATTAGCTGAGGTCTTCTTCAGTTAAGACTGCATGTCAAAATGACCAGTTAGGCAAAGTCACATGCAAGTCTTGACTTTGATAGAGTCTAGTTTGGCCTCACTATCTTCTGCTTCCCGAGCATACTTGTTCCTTTAATGTAATAGGAGGCCTAACTAATTAATGGCAGATGTTTGGGTGGTTCCATATTCAATGTTGGCTATAACTGTAGCTGCCTATATCTCAGGGTCTACTAGTCTTTTTGGTATACATTTTTTTTATTTAAGGTAACCAATGCTTATGTAATTTTTTCATATACTCAGTTTAAATTACCCAAGTGTGGCACTGGTTTATTTAAGAGATGTATTTCTTGTGCAGATGTTACCATTGCAGCAATGAGAGGTTAGGTTCTATGAATTAGGTGTAATTAGCACTGATGTTATCCTTAGAAGTCTATTGGAAAAAACTACACAGAGTAAACCAGTGTGATATAGTCACCAAACAATGACAAACCAACCCATCTTACAACACTGTCAACATGTTGACTCTGATTTTGAGCTTGGCTTGGAGTTCTCAGCTACTTGATCTGTCCAAACCTTAAATTCCACATTTTCAATGGTTTTCCTAAAACTGATAGGTGATCAAAGATGTATTTACAAAACATGGGTGATATTGCTCTGAAGATGGGGAAAAATCCCTGAATTTCAGGCATCCAATACATAACATTCTGCATGTCAGCAGGTATGGACGTGACAGAGCTGGAGGAGTACCAGTTATCTGAATAGACATTTTTATTCAGTGCTTGTCAATAACACCTAATCTTTTAGAACTGAACTCACTTTGTTTGGCAGGTCCTGCTGTTTCGTGCTAAGATTCTCTGGCATCTCCCAGCACCGGGTGGAAAGGTTCAAGATAGCTGTTGCTGCCATGTGAGCAGCCTCTGCATCATGGGTGTAGTCAAAACCAGAGGAAGAAGAGGAAGTGCTTTTAACATAACTGCTGGATGGGCTGTGGTTGGGGGATGAGGCCTTTGGGTATGGTTTAGCTGAAAAAGATTAAAACACAAGTTAGCATTCAAGACCCAGAGGGCAACACGGTATAAGATCATCTTTAAATCACTCGGAAATGATCACATCATAAGAGGGGCAGCACCCTGAACCAGTGAATGTCATCAGGCTATCATTGCTTTAATGCTTACCCAAGGGGAAAGGTTATCAATGACCTTGCTGGCGTTCTGCTGCTTTTTCATTGTCCAATCAGAGGCATGGGGGGAGGTAAGGTGACTAAAAAAGACATTTCTAGTCACCCATTAAATGAGGAAGAACCATTACCATGAATTCAGGGGGAGAAGGTTGTCAAACTTTGTTTTTAAAGGATAGTTAAAGTCATAGTAAACTAAGGTGGGACATATATGCGGAACTTATAATTGAAATCCTAGATTATGATTTTTCCTTGATTTCGGCCTTAAAAGTCAACTTGGTTGCATATTTAAATCACTGACTGCAAGGAGAGGAGTCTCTGTTTGCTTTGCATGCCTTAATTTTTTCAGTGCAGTTACCCTTCTCTGCCATTCGTGTCCTTAGTCCTTTTCTGCCATTAGTGCAACTGAGCAGATCCTATTACACCAGAAAATTATATTTTCCAATGGAGCAAAAATGACTCTTTCATTGGGGCTAAAGCGAGCTATCAGCAGCACAGGCATATTTGGCTAGCTGCCAATGTTTCTGGTGTGCCGTGTGCATGTTTGGCCTTGGCAGCAAAGGAGGGCATACCAGTATGTTGCAACAACCAGGCCTGTGTGCAGCCTGAGCGCTCCTTGCTGAGCATCTGTGGCAGGATTACATAAGGCTCTTGGAAAGTCGGATTAGTTATGAACACTAAGGACTCTTGAGGCCACTGACATCCTTAAAACATTTTTCTACAGCTTCAGCATGGAGATCAACGCTTCCAAATGCAGACTGCCACCACCTCCTCAGACTACTCATCAAATAAATAAAAAAAAGTTTAATCCAAGTATTTATGCTTTCCTAAATAGTAAAATTATTTTTCATTACTACTTCTGAATGAGCTGAAAAAGTTGAAATCAGGCTTGCAGTGAAAATGTCTGCTCTGCAAGCTAGTGGGTGTTAAGGAAAGGACTTATTCTGGACATGACCGTGACCAGTGTGGTTAAGTGTACCAGTAGTTTAAATATCAGGCTAGAGGGAGGCATGCTCTGTGCATAACTGCAGATACTGAAAAGTGTTGTGACCTCCTTATGTTATGTGGTATATTAGCGCACGAGGGGGATTAAAAAAAAAAAAAAAAAGTGTGTAAAACTTTTTTGTTGGTTCTCTGGTAGAATTCACAAACTGCACAAGCCATAACATACCAATGTAAGTGGCATTGTTTGGTACAGTTGTCATTCTAAAATCTAAAGCTCTCTTTTCGTTATGGCTTGGCGTCTTTTACTTACATTTAAAGGCTTTGGGTGAGTTTTCGCTTGTCTGAATCTTTGGGGCAATCAGGCGTTTGCCGAAAACCTGAGCGTCGAAACTTGCATAATCGAAGGTAACCTTGGAGTACTTTTCCAGTTCCTTGGCTAGATTGGCTCTTGGCGTCGCAGGAACCATATTGGGTCTGTAGCTGCCATACTGAGGGATCTCCAGCTGCTTCACGAAGCACATGGGCCTGTCAGATACAAGCAATCAATTGTTTTTTTCAAGAAGCCTCTGTGCCAGAACCCAAATATCCTAGATTTCACATGTGGTGGGCAAGTCTATTTCTTGAATCTGAACTGCGTACCTTGCTCTATCCATGGGGTTGATTACTAAAGGCAAATAGACCATGCACTTTGCAAAGTGCAATTGGTCCAGAGTTTAGTAAATGAGCAAGAGCTCTGATGACTTCCATCATCCAATCATGTGCAAGCAAAAATGCTGCTTTTTTTAAATTTTCCTTGTATGTGATTTGGAAATCTTTTCAAAATGAAGCTTTACCTCATTTACTAAGCTCTGGAGCAACTGCACTTTGCAAAGTGCACAGTCTATTTGCCTTTAGGAAATCAACCCCGATGTGTAACATTAATTAGGTTCACATTTCCAATGCAAATATGAATTTGACAAGTGGCTGTGGGGAAATTCTTAGTATTATCCCTTATTACATCAGGCTTTATGTATGTGAGAGACAGCAAGGAGTCTACAGTGGGTGTGGTGAGGAATACCTCTTCTTTATTACAAACAAGTCAGCAAAGAGGGTTCCCAGATCACTAGTTCTCCTTTAAAAGAAGAGTTGCATGCAAATGTATTACAGCAATGCCTGGATGGAAAATTAAAGCTATTAGCGGGTAAGCTACTTTTAAACCTTTGCAGCATTGCCCCACTTTCCATTTACCTCTCCTCATTTTCCATATCAGTCAGTAATCTATATGTAGGCCACTTGGCATTATCTAACCTGAGTATCCTGTCGGAGTTTGTGTTATTTTTGGTGAGATCTCCAGGCTGTTGTTGCTTCTCGTGGGACCGAGCCAACTTTTCAGCTGCAGCGATAGGACATCCAGATAAACTGAAAAAAAAAATACTATCAAGACCCACAATTCACATGATCTGCAGTATCCAATTTGCTTCATGTAATATTTAAAAGAGTACCAGGCTCAAAAAACTTTACTTGCTTCTTGGTGTTAAAGTAAAACGATATATTTGCCTAACATTCTTAACACACCTTCATAGAAACTATGAGAAAGTTCTAGCACAAGAATACAAAAAAAATCCCTAAAAAGAGGTTCTTCAGGAAACGCTTGTCTCATTTAGCAGCCTTCTCATAGATTTGCAAGCATCAATTTTTTTGTGAAAAAAAATTCTGCTCATCTCAGCATGAATGATCTAAGACAGGGCTCTCCAAACTTTCTAAACAAAGTACCAGTTTTCTGTCCTTCAGACTTAAGGGGGCTGGACTGTGGCCATTGGGAGTAGAAAAGGTCCTGATGTCAGTGGGAATAAACAATGCCCCATCTTTGATGTCAGTGGGAGGAATAGTGCCCCATCTTTGATGTCAGTGGGAGGAATAGTGCCCCAACTTTGGTGTCAGTGGAAGGAATTGTGTCCCATCAATGGTATCATTGGTCCCCATTGTTGGTGTCATTGGGAGGAGTTGTACACTATTGTTGGTGTCATTGGGAGGAATAGTGCCCCATCTTTGGTGTCAGTGGAAGGAATTGTGTCCCATCAATGGTATAATTGGTCCCCATTGTTGGTGTCAGTGGGGGGAGTTGTACACTATTGTTGGTATCAGTAAATGAAAATAGTGCCCCAAGGGCCAGATAAATGCAAGAAATGGTCCGTAGCTGGCCCCACTGGGTCACAGTTTGGAGAACACTAATCTAAGATAAGGGCTTGGTTCTTATTTACCTCAGAGCTTTATTATGGACGTTAATGAGCTGAAGATTCTAAATCATAGAACAGTAGCCTAGTAGGCCAAGTTTAGGTATTTCACAAAGAACATCCAATGGAAAAAATTAAAATAAATTGTTATCTAGTCACCAGCGCAGTTACCTTCGGTGTGTGTTGCGGTTGCTGTTGACATGACCCTGTCCTGTACACCCAGGTGTTGGACACTTTAATACATTCTCATGCATGGCCAGAACTGTATAATAGTAAAAGGACAATGAGAAAACTGTACAAAGAATTTGTTAAAGAAAACACAGCACATCTACATCCTATTACTGTTCCTGTCCTTGATTATAAAGGCAGCAAACACACTTTTTTGATAACTTTGTGGCCCAGTTTGAGGAACAACAAGTATTCTTACTCTCTGGAGGGATTCTGTCTTTGTGAGGACATCCTGAGAGGCTCCTGTGATGGGGATAAAGGCCGGTGACGTGGCCGGTGCCATCACAACCTGGAGTAGGGCATTTGATCTCTCGCTTTTCAGGTCTTGCTGCATCTGAGAAACAAATGCAAAATTTTAATGAGGGAAACATCAGAGCAGACCTCACCAAGATTCATAAAATTTGAATATCTAAATATTCCGACATAGTGGAGAGAGTAGGGAGGGTTTAAAACCCCTAGCATGTTTGGGAGAGATTTCCCTTCAACTTCTTTCCTAGAGAAACAAGAAAAAATGAGGGGATATAGTCTCTAAAATAGGAAAATCTTCTCTTAGATAGGTGTCTCCATTGGACAATATGTCCACTATTCTTATTCTATTGTGACAGCTCAAAATGTTGGAATTTCCCTCACTTGCAATCCTGGTGAAAATGGTGATTGGAAGAAAAAGAGAGCAAAAATCTATATAAGAGGCCCATAAAAAACAACAAGAACCTCACAGAGGTTCTAAGCTCTCGCCATACTATCTTAAATTCAATTTTGGCTTTAATTGTGCTTTAATAGATGACATGAGACTGGGGTTTTTGTTCAAGCTGGTGGCAGAACTTTCCTTTAACTCAGACCTGGGCAAATTGCAGCCCCAAGGCCACATCCAGCCCTTTAGCTGTCACTATATGGCCCTCAATGCCTCCACTGTCAGCATGCCCCTGCAGGAGACATCTTAACACTCTCCCGCAACTCTGCTACCTGCCAAGTTCTTTCTGAGTTAACTCCTTCATGCTGCAAACCCCAGGAGCCGTGCACCTGTTCTTCACTCCAGGTCAGGATCTGCAGAAATCCCTACAGTACCCATTTCAGGCTCTCTCCTTCCAATCACAATGCATTACAGAGGACATTTGACAGGTAATGAGGAGGAGTTATGTCGCTCAGCCCCCCACCCCACCGCCCCTCTGGAAGAGAGCTCTTTCATGAGAAGTTGTAGCTATTATTTCAAGTGTGATGTGTTTGCTTTTTGTATGTTTTCATACTTACAGACCTTCCCAGGTCCAAAATTAATATTGAGCAGAATTAAGTTTGGTTCTCCACAACAGTCCCAGTTTCTCATGTAGCCCCTTTAAAAATGAATTGCCCACCCCTGCTTTAGCTTAATCATTTATTTATTTTTTTTTAAATCTTTAAGGATGAAACAATTCTTGGGCACATTTGCATCTGACTGGCGAAATGCATGTGGTCAAGCTGGTGATAAAAAAGGAAATGTCCTAGTATCACGGGCTTGTAATTCTGATGGGAAAAATGTGGTCCCAAAATAATCTGAGTTTTTCAGCAAGATGAATTAGTAGCAAGGTGCTTTTTTTGAGAAAAGTGATGCAAAAAAAAAAAAAATTACACATCAGCTAAAAATGACACGAGAATCGATGGTGAAGATTGTTTTTCCCTCTCAGTTTGGAGGATCTGTTTCCGGTAAACCATCAGACGGCCTCGAAGGGATTATTTTACACGTTGTGTTCATGAAGCTCTCAGATAAGCGAGAGAAAGCCGCGGCAGGGATCAAAGGCTGGTAAATTGCTTAGGAAGCAAAAGTTTTAATCACCCTTGGCAACAGAACAATGATCATTATACTGAAGTGCATTCTGCAGTGATTTTGGAAAGTGTGTTTCCTTCACCAGATAAAAAAAATAAGACTTCATAACATGTTTCTGCAGAGTCAGAACCGTGAGAGCATTTGCTGATTATTTAAAGCTGAACTCAAGGTTGATTTAAAAGACATAAATTAATGATATGAAGGCCTACCTGAAGTGGAACTAGACAGCATCTGAGCACCACAAACTGAAAACACTGATTAATTAATTTTTAATATTCAAAGCAAACTTCCTATTCATCCAGGTCTCCATGAATTATTTTGCTGAGAAATCACTTTGAAAAACACCCCCCTAGCATTTCTAGCCACAGTCACCAGATTATTCATATAGCAGTTACTTCCTGGAATCTATCTGCCTTAGCTCAGGCAGGCAAGCAGGAAGGTGTGCTGAGCTGAGAAAGCCCCTCCTCCCTTCCTCCAGATGAATGGAAAAAAAAAATACCCATGAAGACTCCTAGGATGTATCACATCATTTTTACCTAGGCCAGAAACCAGAAAGCAACTGAAGAAATGTAAAAAAAAAACCTGAAAGTTTAAAAATAGTTGATTGAGAGAGTTTAGTTCTGCTTTAGGGTTACCAAACTGCTGGAACCAGTAGCAAGGTGATGACATTCATATATTTACATATTCCTAACATACTGTCAATGTTGTTTAAAACAAGCCCTCATTGACCTCTGTAGCTGCAAGCAATGAGGAGCAACTCATCCTGGAAAATCAGAGCAAGTCCTTCAGCAGCTCAGCCCACCCTGTACCTCACTCACAGCTTCTGGTTTGCATTTACATTAGAAATTAGAAGGTTGAAAGGCTGCTGAGTCACTGCCAAAAGAGGGGAGCAAAGCAATTGGGTCATTGCTGGGATGGGAAGAATGGGGAGCTAAGCCTCTGAGTCATTCCTGGGAAGGGGAGCAGGGGAAGAAAAACTGCTGAGACCCTGCTGGGAAGGGGAGCTGAGCTGCTGAGAATAACTAATAAGAGAAGCAGGGGGAGCTGGGTTGTTGAGAGAAAGACTTGAAGTACCTGAATGCATCTGCTGTAAACTACTCCACATTGCCTGCAGCTATGTAGGTCAGTGAACGTTTGTTTGAAAGCCCATTTACTGCTTGTTAAGGTGATATAAGTAAAGTACTTACATTTTCATAGCCTGGCCACAGGTTCACTTTACTTTTTCCTAAAGGTCCCATATTGGCCAACCTATTTACCCAATATATACATCAATTATACTATATATAGTAGTAGATAACAAAGAAACTGAATTACCATAGAAGCTTTTTCTCATGGTGTCTATTGATCTATTTTGCTTCTCGTCAGTTTGAAAGCTTTTAATGTTGTCCGACGTCACCCTGCTTGGTTCCCGGACAACTTTAACTTGCTCGGCTTTCAGAGCTATTGCCTGTTCCAGAAGCCCCAGGTTCCCTCGGGTCATCATGTCATACATTTCAGACTCGTCGGTCACAGCCGATTTTTGTGAGTGGCTGTCGTCATCCTTATCGTCATCCGACCTGACTTCCACAGTGACCGAGTATTCAGGTTTTGGGCTAAACTGTTCTTCACAGTGAATTTTTGGGGAGCCCTGAGAAACGCGGGGGGCATCATGAGTCATAATTTCTGATGTCTGTTCTTCTTCTTCATCATCATCTAAGTCATCATCATCATCGTCATCGTCAACATCATCATCCTCGTCGTCTTCATCCTCGTCGTCCATATCTTTTCTTACAGGTCTCCTCGGAATTGGCGTCCTCTCGAGGCTCCAGACATGATTCGCTACTTCGTTCACTGGCCACTTCAATGACTTCTTCTGCATCTTCTGTCTGGATGATGATCTCTTTCTCGCACACTTCCTCCACCGCTGCTTCTTCCACCTCTGGCTGGACAATCTGCACTACCCCGGAGCTCGGTTTGGGGGTTTCCAATTCACTTTCTGGCAAGTGTCCCTCTGACACCAAGGTTTCTTTAGCAATTTGGCCCAGATTTAGGAGGGAATTGGCAATGATTTCTTGATAACTGCTGTAAGTGGCTTTTGTGGGCGTCTCATTGTTCGATGGTT